ATATTGTTTGCAATATAGTTGCAGATAATATTATCTTGATAACACTGCATAGTATCTTTGTATTATTGCTAAAGTTCTTTCACTTTCTGTACATTGTTTTATTTATTTTCCATAATATTATATAATTAATGTTAAAGGTAAAAATAGACTTGTAAAAATTTAAAATAAGTAGAGATATTCTTACTTTCCATCTGTACCTAATTCAATTTTATTTGTAAATATTGGTAACCATAATTTTTCAGTAAAAATGAATATTCAGTAAAACTATAAGCCATGTTTGTGTTACCAAATAATTAATATTGTTTACAATTTTAAACCTGCAAAATGTCATGAAAAAAATAAAATAAAACATGAATACATATATAAAAAAATTTTTCATTACAGACTTTGTCATTATTATTACTTACATTATTTTTGTGAAAATTTGTTAATTATTTTCATCATTACTATCTATTTCAGTGAAATCAATTATTATCTGTTTGTTTTTTGGAGAATATTGGCTTAAAAAAGAAAATTTATATTGTTAGTAAATTTAAAGATGCATAATAAAAAACATTTGTTAAATATTGTCAAAAACTAAAAATTTTAATTTTAGGAAATACAAATCTAAAAAAAATAAATTATTTTAAGTACTAATAAATTCTTATATGATTTCTTATATTTTTGATATTTATATAAGTTTAATAAAAATAAATATATAATTCAAATAACTAAAATACCTGTATGTAATACCTGCTGCATCAAACATTTTTTTTGCAGCAATAGTTTTTTTCTTTGTTGCATGTTTATCAGAAACATATTTAACTAATTTTATTCCAGATTGTATTATTACTTTAGCACATTCGTTACATGGGAAGAGTGCAACATAAATGGTACAATTTTTAACACTGCTACAATTCTTATTTAAAATAGCATTAACTTCAGCATGACATACTGCAAATTTCATATTATCATTATCGTACAACATTAAATTATATAGATATATACAATAATAAATTACAAAGTGTTATCATGATACCATATAAAGATTTATTTTTTAATGAATCATTAGAATTTTTGCACCAAGAAAATTCATCGTCACTACAACCTTTAGGCATTCCATTATATCCAATACCTACAATTTGTTTGTCTTCATTCACAATACATGCACCAACCTGAGTACGAGGATCTTTGCTACGTTTTGCACTTAAAAAAGCTATAGCCATAAAATAATCTTCCCAATCTATATAGTTTTCTCTTTTATTATTATCTTTATTTATACTATGAAAATATGAAACTTATGTTATGTTATATTAATTAAATAACTATTTAATTTAAATTATTAAAATATTTCAAATATTCTTACCATTTAGAATTGATTTCCAAATTATTATCATTTAGTGCCATTTTTATAAATTTTTTATTGATATGACATAAATAAAAAAGTTAAAATTAATATAAAAAATTTAGATTTTTATTTAAAAATTTAAATAAAATTTATAACTTTAGCTTCAATAACACATGTGCGAATTTTCCTAACCTTAATAAATTATTACAAAAAATAATTAAATATTTATAAAAGATAAAAATGATTATTAAAAATTATAATGTTTTTATAATTCCGTGATATATTAAATTTATTTTATACATAAATTTTATATATTTAATAAAATTATCCGTAAGTACGCGCCAAAAGTATAAACAAGGAAAACAAATAATAGAGAAAGATAGAGATAAGCTAAAAATTAGACAATTAGTGCCATCTAGTATATCATAGATGAAACATATAGACAAGGAGGAGGAATAATAAAGAAGCAAATAAGATAAAATAAGAATTTACTATCAGTGCCATCTTTCTTAAAAAAAAAGATTAATCTTTGTTTGTGATAAAAATATTTAAAAAATAACATTAATTCTTAATTCTTACTTTGTCTTATGTTGTCTTTGATGCTCGCAAGATAGCATTGTTAATCAATTCTGATTCTATTTCTATTCTTTTCTTACTATTTACTCTCTTTATCTCATCTATATATATTTCATTCGCGACATCCTAGAGATGGCACTGATTTCCTAATTTTTACCTAATCTTTACTTTTTCTTTGCTATTTGTTTTTTTTATCTTTATTACGAAAGTTTATCTTCTTAAAAGAGAATTCTGATTAACTTTATTGAAATTTTTGCATATTTTTTTGTTGATTTCAATAGAATATATTTAATCAAATTTTTATTTATCAATTTATTCGTATTATTATTCATATTAATTATTCATTAATTAATAAATATTCATTTTATTCGATTCGTATATATTAATCACGTTAAAGTCATTCCTAAACTCATTTCTATTAGAATAATTTTTGTAATCCGTAATTATTATGTAATTTATAATTATTATAGATTATGTTTTTGTCCCGATTTTTTTTTTAAAAATTCGGAATAGATTTTTTTTAATTCATTCCAAGATTTTGAATAATCAAATAATATTGTATCTATTAAATATTTTTTATTTGCTTTGAAATAAAACATTTAGAAAAATATACATCACTGATTGATTTTATCTTTTAAAATTACATAAAATATGATATGTATGATTCTATTTATGTAAAGTGTACAATATTAAATGAAATTGTGTATTGGATAAATTTTTGTTAGAAATTTAACAATTTTACATTTCAAATGTACATATATATATTTTATATATGTCTTATATATATTTAAATATAAACTCCATAAGAAATATTGAAGATAAATTATTATAGTATAATTTAAATTTTGAATAAAAAAAAAATAAATAAAACTAACTTATCAAGATTACAATGAATCTCAAGAATAATATATCGAAAATATTTATTCTGAAATATGATCAATAAATGTATAATCGGTGCATGGAGGAGCTTAGGACAAACTTCTTAAACATGGCAATAATGGTTCCTGGTACCGATAAATCATTTCTTCAATTTTAAATGCATTTATTGCAAAAATTTTTTATCGTTATCCATAATTATAAAAAAGAAATACATGCATATATATCATAATATTTTAATTTTTCTCTAGAATATTTATATATTATTTTGCGTGGGAATTTGATTCAAGATATTATATTTCTTTGGATAATAAATTATCATGAAAAGCTAAACAAGTAAAATATAGATAATAGACAAGCGAATTACACGCAAAATTGGTAAAAATGTCAATATTGCGTGACATATTTCGTGATTCTTTCGGTGGTTAAACTCAATTTGTGAGATAAAAATAATATTTCCCATCATGAAATTGTCATTGTAAAACATGACATAAATTTATCGAAATTTATTGATAATTTCTCTTATTAAATTAAGATTAGAAATTTAATTTATTTAATAACATAAAAAAATACAAATTTTTTTCAATATTGATTTATAAATAGTTTTTTTCATTACAGTAAACATTGCATATATAATATGTGTGTAAAATTTATTCAAAAAGATATATGCTTCTATAATTTAATAAAATTTCAATTATCATATTTTAGATCAAAGATTTATTTCTATATATAAATAAAGATTTATCGTCGATAATAAATGATAAACGAGCTAAACCGCTCGAAACCCTAAGCTGAAAGCTTTTTTAAACGCTTGCTACACAAATGAGTATACTTGGGCGCGGCACTGTAGACACGTTTTTCAACCCCCAAGTATACTTAGCACTCTCTGTAAAAAGGGCTAATAATTCGTGGATTAAGGCACCCTTTGCGTAATCAGGATGTTACGATTAATTTTTGTATTAAATGAAATTACACATATATGATTTTTAAATTATAACTTTTCGATATTTTCCATTTTAAAGAGAATAATCTTTTTTGACGATAAATTGTTATATATCGAGTGATATACATTTAAATCTAAATTTCAATGAGAAAAATTTACATATTAAAATATTCTAACTGTATCCTATATCTGGTAATGAAAGTATTGTTTTCATTGCACGCTTATTCTAGTCTCGAACACGCCATAATATTTTACGATACATCTGTGCGAGTAAGAGTACAGCTGCTGAATGAAAAGAGGTTTCTTCCGCCAAGCAACGTGGCTAATAAAATAATTCGTAGGATTGTGGCGTTATTCCTCGGGGATTCCAAAGCGCCCTCGGAATTACCTTCACGCACAGTGCATTATCGTTTAATTGTAACTCCCCACATTCCTGCTGCGAGTATTGCATTTCCCTCATCCATTCGCTTCATAAAAAAAATTAATAAACCATTATATAAAATTTAATCAATTAGATTAATTCTTCGTAAACGTTAGAAAGCAATTAAAAAAATTTCTAACGATTTTATTTATTTTATTTACATTATACATTTACGAAAATGAAATTTTCGAAAAAAAGAAATTGAAGTTCTTATCGTGCAATATTCGTGCATCGTGAACGATGGAAGAATCGAATTTCTCACCGTTACGAAGCGCAACGATAAACGCCGTGGACGATGCCGAAAATTGGTCCAGGGAGGAGGACACGAAGGATGATATTCCTGGCCGGCAGAGAACGGCGAGTATTGATTAAGGGGTTCGCCGGGAGGTATCCTCGTAGTTGAGGGGATTTGCTCTGTGAATGTGGGGCTGAATGGAGGGGATTGTCGTGGGGGGTTGAAGAACGCCGACACAGGCCGAGGGTGGTGTTTGCCCCATGTACTTGCTCTGGGAATTGCACGCAGTGGGTGCGTGTGCCGCGCATGCGTGCCGCGCCTCTGCTCTTGCACGCATGCACATTTTTGCGTGTATTTACAGTGTACGGTTGTCGAGCCGGTATACGCATTGGCGATTTGCACGTGGCGTTCCCGGTGATTGACGAACAAAAGAGAAGAGAATCGGGTTGTGAAAACTACGAAAGTAAAGAAAAAAAGAAAGAAAGAATACGATTCGAAGAAAGATAACCTCCCTCGCAACGTATCTTTCAAGATAATATATCTTCGTAATGTGAACTCACGTGAGAAAGATCTTCCGTCTCTGTTCAATTTATAGTTCGTAACGAGAGTGATCTTCGTCAAAGTCGCGTCTCGTGTGGCGTTTAGTGTATTATACGCCAGTACACGAAGTATATACAATAGTGGTCGTCAGTTCGGAGTGGTCGACTGGAGAAACAGCAACGGGAGGCTCGTCCGTCTCGATAACACCTCCTTCTCGCTCTCTTTTTTTTTTTCACATCCGTCCGTCTTGCTTTCTCGCGGTGTGGCTTCCCTCCCTCTCTTTCTCTCAGCCAGCAGCAACAGAACCGGCACTGGCACCGAAGGGCTGCAGTTGCGATCGGATGATCGACGAGTACGCGTCTGTTGTGCGCATCGTTGTGTGTTCGTCCGGAATGTCAGGTGTCTTTTCGATTCTCATTATCACCTATCCTCGATGAATCGAAGCAATAACGAAGTTGAAGCTTTGGATCAAAAAACGAGAGTGAGCAATGTTCACGAAGATTCGTGAGGTAAGGCAATTTTTATTTTGTATATGTACACAGTGATTAGCATATGTCGGTCGATTCGGTAGACGCGAACGATGCGTGACGAGATTAGTTTACGTTTATTTCCGAGAAAATAATTAGAGAGGGAAAAATATCTGGTAAAATATTATCATTATATTATTATTGATTATCTTATCTGATTGATTATTTTAATTTTGTTACGTATAATTGTGGTTGAAAATGAGGTTAACATTTCATCGTGAATCTGAAAATGTTCTCTTTCGACCGTTAGAATCGTTGTCATATACGAGATGTAACACGAATCGCGAGATTCTCGATTCTTTCCGACTCGATCGATATTTATGTCTGAGTCGTAAATAATTAATCGATTAAATGATTTAATAACATATTTCATGTCGTGAAAGTGCAACAATAAGTAAGAGTTATTTTATTGACAATCATTCTTTTTATTTGCGTGATAAAATTTTTAGAATTAGATGAATTGAGACGAATTGTGAAGAGTTACCAACTGAACGGGATTAATGAAAAATCGTACATATATATAATAGATTATCCGTATATTGACACGACAAGTATCGTTCTTTATGCTTGTATTAGCTTGTTTATTCTAACTGTTTGACGATGATTGTAATGAACAGAAGTAGTAGTCTCGTCCCCACGTGTTTATCCGTTATTTGAATTGAAGTCTTACACTTTAGCCTTATAACACTCATTTTTTTAGCCTTTATTAACACTCATTGTTGGCAAGTATTTGTCTAAATGTGAAAATTACGCATTGATTGGTATTAATTAATCATCGGTTCGTCGCTTATTATATGTTTTGATACAATCTGTCAACTTTAAGTATATAATATTATATTATATTATATTTATATTAAATTAAAAAAAAAAGATTAAAAAAAAGAAAAGATAATAATTCAAGTTTCAGGCTTCAATTTTTTAAGCATTTTGACTTGATTCTATATAATCTGAATGCTTTGTTTACATTCGAAACTTATATAAATACAATATCTACTTCTATCCTTTTTCACAAGGAAAAGTCATACTTACCGAATACAATATTTACATTTTTATTCTTAATGTGCTTTCTTCACTATATTTTCAATAACTCCATATAAATTATAAAAATAAAACGAACACTCGAGTTAATTGCTACATTTCTTTATTGAATTTTTTTATCGATATAATAATTTCTTCATAAAAAAATTTCAAAGGTCGGATAAAAAGATTCCTCGCGACATAAATGCAGGATCAGGTTATAATTCGAAGGTAACATCCATGCCGGTTCCCACAGCGGGGCGATCAGCTTTCCTTCGACCGTGAACACGCCGCGCCGTGGCGCGGCAAGATCGTGAAAAGACGACAGTCGAGAATATGGAGATACAAAGCTTAAACTGCGTTTATTCGTATGTGTCGTGCGACATAAAGTCATTAAAGAATTTCTAAGGCGTCGGACAACGGCCTGCCTTCGTGAACTTCATTACACGCCATAGGCGATTGTACGGTACATGATGTAACAAGAATTCACACATATTTTCCTATATCCTGTAATTAGATGTTTGCACCTAACCTTTATTTGTCTCTTATGTCAATTGGATGTAACACATTTAATATCGTGATCAATGATTGTTATTTCACACTAGATTTTCTCAAAAACGACACGTTAAATGACAAGATTTTTTTTCAATTCTATATTTAATTTTGTTTGTAAAATAATATCTAGATGTCAATCACGACGAAGCTCTGTAGAGAAATCCGTATAATTGAAATTTATTATGAAATTGGAACATATTATTTTTTAATCTAAGTTTTCGAAAAAAATTTTTTTATTAGTTATTATTAATATTTAGTTAATTGATTAAATTTCGTTTTTAAGTTTTTTGATAATGCTTTTGGTAATTACTATATGGTTATTTTCTTATAACGGATTTTAATTTGCTTACGAGAATGTAATTGCAGTTGATTACGGTTTCTTATTTTGAACCGTGGAACAGATATTAATTAATAAGTGGTATATATTAAAAATGAAAAATAAAATACTTAATAGCAAAATAATTGCGTAAGCATAATAAAATAAAATAGAAATACATACATACTTGAAATACATAAATATTAATTTTATATATAATTTTATAATATTACATGTATTATTATGTAATATTATGAAGTTATATGATATTAATAGTTGATTTTTAATATTTAATGATTAAGAGGTCAGTTCTTACATTTAGTGTTAAAATATGCAAAAAAATAGGATTTAGAAGAAAATAGTTTAAAATTATTAGATCAAATTAGACAATATCATCAATATTTACATGATGAGTAAACGAATAAGAGATATAATTCTATCGTATTTGTTTCTTTTATTATTACCAGAAAAAATTGAAAAAAAGATAATCATTTATTATGACAATCAGTATATCATCAATATAATTGTATTAAAAAAATAAAATAAAATAAAATAAAATTAGAAAGCTTGACAATAAAAAGGAATTAAAAACAATTCGAAACTATCATTATGATGAAAACAATTCGTTATAGCAAATTTTTTTTACATTTTCTAACCATCTCATTATTTCTTTCTCCGCATCTTTCGAAAGCTATTCAATAGTTGCATTGCATATGCATACAATTGTTGTTTTCGATGATTCACAGAAGTTACATTTTCATCAGCGTATATAACTAAACACATGATCTGTTGAAATCGATGTTCTCGGAATTGATGTAATTACTCAATCGAAGGTTTTCGATTAATCGATTGCATAATATTTTCTCTGAAATCGTCGACTTTGCCATATAAGCACGAATCTACATATCTAAATTGGAAACTAGACTGGTGAAAGAAATTTTCTCTTTTTTCTTCTCTCCTTTTCATGATTTTTTTTCATCAGGTTTGAAATACTTTATTTAAATTAGATAAAATTTTAAGGGTGGAACGTGTATTTACAACGAAAGTCTATAGGATTAACAAAGTCACGATTTTGAATCTACACGTTCCAAGAATGCCTACTGCATACAAAGCACTGCAAATAATAATAAACAGGTTTACAGTGAAAATCGATAAAGCATTCGATTGTTGGGAATACACTCAGTCAGTCTGTATTTAATGATAGATAAGAATTATCTTCGAAACTTAAATGTCTTTTAAATTAGATTTATTATTTTAAAAGAAAAAAGATTCTACTTATCCATATTATTTTCTTGGATTGTCCTCTTTGTTCATCGGATGGTTTAATTAGATTTTAATGTCTTTTAATGTCTTCATCTTTTAATAAAATCTCTTAATAAAATCTTTTAATATAATATATACATTTGAAAAAAAAAATTGAAAAAAGTTAGAAAAATCAAAATTTATTTATAAATTGAAGAATAGAGTATAAAATAAATAAAGATAGAATATTGTATGAGATCTCAAATATACCAATGAACAAATCTCTTTAAGGTCAATTTTTAACTTGTGAATCATACGGTTCATATTTAATTGACCTTTCTTTTTTCAATTTATAATTGCATTTAATCTTTATACTTTAACAATATGAAAAAAATACTGTAAAATTATATCGAATATATAATTAATAATATATAATTTGTTGTATAATATTAATTATCAAGTTCTGTGAGAAACAAAAGATCTTTAAAACACACGAATTTTCGTAAGACAATCTTTAATTTTCCATCTCCCAAGAATATCTCGTGCACTAGCTCTCTGATTAGTAGAACGTTCTGTAGCATATCACACGTAAGTAACTTACCTACACACGTTTGTAATCGTCACGCTCCAAAACTGTTACTCATTATTTCCATCTTATTACCGCTAACGGAGCATTACCGCACTTTAAGTTATATGTATCTCTTTAAATTCTCTCTAACTTTGACCAGTTATGTATATATTTCTGTATTAAAAAAAAAAAAAAAAAAAAAAATCTTAAATTTATCGAATCATTTTCAAAATGATCATTTATTTCTATTATGTCAACGATCATCTTTTAATATATCGCAAGAAGATCTATTAACTAGGGATTAATGGAACTAGTCGCAATTGAGAGGGTTAAAAGCTTTTAATCAACGGATCGGTCACGTTGTTGTGAACTTTAATTTTCTCTCGTCTGTTTTCTTCGACCTTTGCCAAATCCTTTCTCGTTCGATGGACTTTAAAAAGTGTTACAATTGACTCGCATTAGGACCATTACTTCGAATGCTCATCAAATGGATAAGAATTATTCTAATATACGATGTGTATTCGATAATGATACAATATTGTTTTTTAGTAATTTTCAAACAATCAATCAATTAATTAAGAAGTTAAATTGATCCATTTTATTTTTTTTTTTAAATAATTTGTTCTTTACTCCAAAATCAAAATCCATAATTAATTTCCAATTTCTCACAAATCGAATCACATCAACTAGATGAAAATGACCATTAACTTCTATATAGTAAACATTCTAATCGAATTAATATCTCTTAATTTATACGCATGTATTGAGTCGAAATATCTTCGTTTTTTTCTCTCTCTCTCTCTCGTCATTGTACAGGAACGATCTGAATAATTCTAGGCGTCAAACAGCGACCACGATGCCTCAAACCACGCAGAAACGTATGGCCTCGTGGAACGGATTGGACAGGCACGCTCTGTTTATGCGATTTAATTAGGCCCCTAATGCCGCTTCCAATCGTAATCTGGAATTCCTTCGATCTCTTTTCTCACTGACTGACATTGAAATAAAAAGTGCGGCGTGTACGTGTTCTGGAGCGTCACCGGTACTTATATCGGCTTTCTACGCTTCTGAAATCGAACTCGATCGGAAACCGATGGCGGAAACTGTGATGAGTCTTCCAGGTCGATCGATAAATCGATTTTCCATTCATCAGCCTCGAGGATGATTAATTGTTTTATTTTATCGTGGTTGAGGGAATTATTTCCTTACGTGTATTTTTAACGCGTTTTTTTTTTAAATTTGTAGAGAAAAATTTCTGAAATTTATTATAAAAAAATTATTATT